TCCCCATACATATCCATCCATCCTTCTCCATATATACTCATCTATCTATCCATCCATCCATCATCATTTTTATAATGTCCCCCAGCACCCTGGTATATTAGCAACTAAATCCTGTAGGCAAACCATGTAAAATAGCCTCGTCTGTTAAAATAAGGTACTACTAATCTCTCCTTCCTTAAGACACCCTACAGGGATTGGCTGCTCCGTAAATGTGAGAAAGTTGGATGTTTTGGTAGACTTGTACGAGAACCCAATTCAGGAAAAAAGATGAAGCAGGTTTAAAGGCGAAACCAGGAAAGTAACCACCATAGGCCCAGGGACTTCGATGTTTGTGTGATGGGGGGTTGATAGACGGACCCACAGACAGATAAACCTTGACTCTAATTGCATTTGTGAAGTGACCACAGATATTGCTGGGGAAAGTGTAACAAATCAGATTCTGCAAAACAACCCCCGCCCCCATGTAGCGAGTATTCGGTCAAAAGTAACAGGATTTCAGGTCACCGCCTGGCAACGCCCGCCTCTTGCACTTGATCGTGAACTCTGCCGCGGGGATGAACTCTCCGGGCACGTGACAGTACCGGCCGCTTTCTCTCTGTGTCGCACCAGGGCCCGTTTGGTCGCCAGAGGGCGCCGCATGGAAGCCAAATCGTCCGTACAAAGCAGCCTCGAGAAGGTCTCTTTCAGCGCGCGGCTTTTCATCAAATCCACGTTGTCCTGTCCCCGCCGGAGCCCGCCCGCTGACAGACGCAGTGAGCCGTCTTGGAGCCCCAGGTGAAGGGCAGATGCAGAGAACAGCGGAGAGACACGCGGGGGGGGGGGGGGCTGGTTTATGGGGCAGGCCCCAAGGGTCACGCACAGCTCGAGTTCCAACAGTGGCATCTCTGCGGGTTGTTCGGGGCCCCCACTCCCCCCGCTCCGTCTCTCTTTGGCTTGTGGCTGCGGGGAAAGGGCGGAGCCTCCCCCCGCTGACTCCCACAGGGCTCAGACAGAGAGAAGGGGCTGGGACGCAGCTATTCCGCGGTGAAGATGGGAACGATCCCGGGCTCAGGGATCGTGCTGATTTTTGTTCTGAGTGAGGTTCCCGTTTCCCCACCTCTCTCTCTTTCTCCATTTCTCTCTTTCTCTGCCTAGCTCCATCTGCCCCAACACACACCCCGACTTTCTCTCTCTCACTCTGACCTGACCATACACCCTTCGCCTCTGTGTTCCCTCATCCTCTCTCCCTAGCTCTTGTAACACCCGTGACAGTCACAAGAACAGGGTGAGCGCAGGGGACAGGGAATGAACCCACAGAGCCCCGAAAACGCTTCATGTCCGCTAACTTAATTCTCTTTCTGGTTTCCTCTCCTAGTGGCGCCGGGAAGAGCCGACATCCAGCAGCCGGGCTTCGCAGAAGGTTTGGAGGGAGCGGAACTGAACCTCACCTGCTCTCACCCCTCAGTCACGGCGAGTGAATACATATTTTGGTACCGGCAGTTCCCGAACAGAGGACCCGAATTTATAGTTTCTGGTTTCCGGGGAACCATTGATAGCCCCGACCCCGAGGGAGCCTTGCACATCTCTGGGGACAGAAAGTCCAGCACGCTGGCCCTACGCAGAGCGAGGCTGGCAGACGCAGCGGTGTACCACTGTGCTCTGAGAGACACACTGTGACAACCAGCGGCTGCCCCTGTACGATAAATATCGTATTTGGGACAGTGTGTGTAGGCGGGCGGGGGGTGGGGGTGGGGGAATGTGGGATGTGGGATGTGCTTCCATGTGGAGGAGGGGAGAGGGACGAGCAGGGAAGAGTAGAGTTCACTAAAATATTTGGGGCAAAATTTACCAAGGTATCTGCGCACCTAACTATTTGCCTAGGCGACTAGTTGAGATTTGAAACTTTGGAAAAGGTCTAAGAAAAATCCTCTTCGGAGAGAAATCAGAAGCCCAATATAAAGCATGGCCCAAAGAAACCAGAAAACCCTTCTCACTCCAGCTGCAAGGACAATATCTTGAAAGCTCGATAGCTAGACAGTAAAACACCGTCCTTGCACCTGGCCACAAATATTACTGGGGAAAATAATTTATTGTCTAATTCGTTAGCAAATCCCATTTTGCTTGAATAATCTCCCACGATTTAGCGGGAATTCAGCGTAAATAAGTAAGTCACTGGGGCCGCCTGATAACACCCGCCTTTTGCAAATCATCCATGTATGCGACCTATGGAGCTATTTCACCCCTTGGGTTTTTCATGCAGACTCTCCTGTCGGACACAATGAGGCATTCTGCAGCTTGGCAGCTCAGCTGAAGGGCAGTTGGCAAAGAGGGGAGGGTGGGGTTTATGTGGTTGGCACCAGGAGTGACCTATCCCAAAATCCAGCACCAGCATCACTGCATGCGTCTCTCTCCCTCTCTCTCCTGGGTTTGCAGCTGTAGGAAAAAAGGACAGAGCCTCTGTCCCAGTGACTGTCTTCGGGGCTGGAGAGAGAGACAAGGGGCTGATCCCTGCAGAAGAGCACAGGCACCCAGATTTTGGGGAGGATGGAAAAAATCTGGGGATCAGCGACTGTGCTGCTTCTTGTTTTGAGTAAGATTTCGTGTTTCCGACATCCATCCATCTAACCCGATACACCCCTGTCCCGCCCCCTTCCCTGCTGCATTCTCTCTTCCGACTACTAGATCCTTTCATGGATTGAGAACGGATTAAAAGACAGGGAACAAAGGGTAGGAATAAATGGCAAATTTTCAGAATGCAGAGGGGTAACTAGTGGTGTTCCTCAAGGGTCAGTCCTAGGACCAATCCTATTCAACTTATTCATAAATGATCTGGAGAAAGGGGTAAACAGTGAGGTGGCAAAGTTTGCAGATGATACTAAACTGCTCAGGATACTTAAGACCAAAGCAGACTGTGAAGAACTTCAAAAAGATCTCACAAAACTAAGTGATTGGGCAACAAAATGGCAAATGAAATTTAATGTGGATAAATATAAAGTAATGCACACTGGAAAAAATAACCCCAGCTCTACATACAATGCGATGGGGGTTAATTTAGCTACAACTAATCAGGAGAAAGATCTTGGAGTCATCATGGATAGTTCTCTGAAGGCGTCCAAGCAGTGCTCAGTGGCAGTCAAAAAAGCAAACGGGATGTTAGGAATCATTAAGAAAGGGATAGAGAATAAGATGGAGAATATCTTATTGTCCTTACATAAATCCATGGCACACCCACATCTTGAATACTGTGCACAGTGTGGTCCCCTCATCTCAAAAAAGATAGATTGGCATTAGAAAAGGTTCCGAAAAGGGCAACTAAAATGATTAGGGGTGTGGAACTGGTCCCATATGAGGAGAGATTAAAGAGGCTAGGACTTTTCAGCTTGGAAAAGAGGAGACTAAGGGGGGATACGATAGAGGTCTATAAAATCATGAGTGGTGTGGAGAAAGTGAATAAGGAAAAGTTATTTACTTGTTCCCATAATATAAGAACTAGGGGCCACCAAATGAAATTAATGGGTAGCAGGTTTAAAACAAATAAAAGGAAGTTCTTCTTCACTCAGCGCACTGTCAATCTGTGGAACTCCTTGCCTGAGGAGGTTGTGAAGGGTAGGACTATAACAGGGTTTAAAAGAGAACTGGATAAATTCATGGAGGTGAAGTCCAGTAATGGCTATTAGCCAGGATGGGTAAGGACTGGTGTCCCTAGCTTCTGTTTTGTCAGAGGGTGGAGATGGATTCATAGATTCATAGAATATCAGACTTGGACGGGACCTCAGGAGGTCATCTAGTCCAACCCCCTGATGGCAGGAGAGAGATCACTGATCATTACCTGTTAGGTTCATTTCCTCTAGGGCACCTGGCACTGGCCACTGTCAGTAGACGGGATACTGGGCTGGATGGACCATTGGTCTGACCCAGTATGGCCATTCTTACGTTCTTATTTACTAGCTGTTTTAAACAGGCATGGCAGTCCCAGGAAGGATGGGGTTCAGGGAGATGGAATTTACCCCTAAAGTTGCTTAGAAATTTAATACCCAATGACTTAATTCTCTGTCTCTTTTTCTTTCCCAGTCTCCCAGCGCAGAGCTAAAATCCAGCAGCCGGTCTCAGCAGAAGCTCTGGAGGGAGCCAAACTGAACCTCACCTGCTCTCACCCCTCAGCCAGCCGTGATAATATATTCTGGTACCAGCAGTTTCCGAACCGAGGACCCGAATTAATAGTGACTGGATTCAGTGAAACCGCTCAGAGCCCTGACCCAGAGGGAACCTTGCACATCTCCAAGGATAAAGAAAACAGCACCTTCGCCCTGTGCAGGCTGAGGCTGGCAGACGCAGCGGTGTATTACTGTGCTCAGAGAGGCACAGTGGGACAGCCAGGGGCGGTCTCCATACAATAGGCCCCATCTATACTGGCAAGTTTCCCTGCAGTAAAGCAGCTCTGAGCGCTGTAACTCCCGAGGTGTACACACTGCCAAGCCACTTAGTGGGCGGAAACTGCACAGTTGTAGCGCTCTAAAAAAAATCTCGACGAGAGGCGTCGAGCTTTCTGCGCCTGGGCTATAGCGCTGCCGGGCCAGTGTAGACACCGTGGCGATGACAGCGCTGCGATTGGCCTCCAGGAGGTGTCCCACAATGCCTGTTCCCACCTCTCTGGTCATCGGTTTGAACTCTACTGCTCTGCCCTCAGGTGACCAACCGTCAGCCCCGTACCATACATTCCTTGGCAAATTTGAAAGTCCCCTTCCTGTTTGCTCAGTGATGCGTGCAGTGGTCTCAGCACATCTTTCCAGGTGGCCAAGCCTGATACACACACCAGGCGATCCCCGGCTTGGAGCAATGCCGAGCTGCTAGTCCTCATCGGCATTTGGGGAGAGGAGGCTGTCCAGACCCAGCTGCACTCCAGCCGTCGGAATTATGCCATCTACGGACAGATTTCATGATGCATGACAGAAAGGGGCCATGACCGGGACACATTTCAGTGCAGGGTCAAAGGGAAGTAGCTGCAAAACGCCTACCACGAGATGCACGAGGCAAACCGCCACTCCAGTGCTGTGCCCACGAGTTGCCGGTTCTACAAAAAGCTGGACGCGATACTCGGTGGCAACCTCACCTCCACTGTGAAGTCCCCCGTGGATACTTCGTTGGTTTGCGTGCCAGTCGAGAGTGGACCGAGCCAGGAGGAGGCAATCTTTGAAGAGGGGGAGGGAGACCCAGAGGCAGAGGATAGCTCGGAGACCAGAGATGCATGCAGACAGGAGCTCTTTTCTACCCCAGAGGAGCCTAGTCAGTCACAGCAGTCGGATCTTGGTGAAGCGCAAACAGGAGAGGAGGTCCCTGGTAAGTGGATCTGATTTTGGGAATTGGTGAAGCGAACTGTTGCTGGCAGGAGGGTTGCAGAAAGCCGGCTTGTCTCCCAGCTCATGCCTAGTTTGAGCGGCAGAACAGGATGTTGATACACTCCCTCACTTCACGGGAATCTCCCTTAGAGATCTCCAGGAAACTCTCATGGAGATACCAGGCAATCCGCTCCCGCAGGTTCCTTGGCAGAGCTGTTTTGTTTCTTGCCCCATTAAAGGTAACTTTCCCGTGCCACTGTGCTGTCACTGGGGGCGGGCGGGGGACCATTGCTGCACACAGGCTAGCCACATAGGGGCCAGGGAAGAAGCCACAGGCTTGGAGAAGACCCTCTCTTGATTCCCTGCTCACCCTCAGCAGCATTATCTTCCATAATGACCACCTTCTGTTGAAAGTGTGGGGACAGGAATGATTATCAGGCCCACCCTACAGTGCTGGCTCTCCCCAAGTGTCCAAGAGCCATGTGCCCAGTGTACAGCAGGGTCTGGGAACAGTGATTTACCCTGCCCCTGCAGCTACTCACCATTTTGGGGGTCTTGTGGCTCATGTGTGCTTGCCTGGGGTCAGCGAGTGAGTGACAGGTGTGTGAGTACTGGCTCTGTTTTAAAGCACTGAATCACTGTTGTCTGTGTTGCAAACAATACTGCTTCTGTAAAATGTCGCATTAAACTTCACAGAGATGACCTTGGGAGCACAGCCGCCCTCTTTGTTATCAGTGGCAGAACGGTTGGGAAGAATTAGGAAGTGTCCAAGAAGAACTAAGGATGACTTTCTGCATGAGTTTATGATGCACTCCACCACTGAGAAAAAGGAACTGAAGGAGTGGCGGGACAGCGCGAAGAGGGAACGAAAGGAGAACATGGCACACCAGAAAGAAGCCACGGAGGAGCTCTTAACAGTTATGGAGCACCAAGCGGACATGCTCCAGGCAATACCAGCTCTTCAAACAGAGCAGCTCCACGCCCGCCCTCCCCTGCAGCCGGTGTCACAAAACTCTTTCCTGTGCACCCCCCACCCCACCCACACCACCAACACACTCTTATCAACCTCCTGGCTCCACTCTCTACCCACAGCATTCCACTCCTCCCTCCTCACAGTCCAGCCCCGTGGACTCCCACTGCACTCAGCACCCATCCCTCTGCAGTTTGGCCCTGCTGAAGTACAGCACCTGCTGCATCGTACTCCGAAGGAGAAGGCTAGGTATGATCCCTGGACATACATAACTCTGTAGCTGTCCCGGGACACCTTCTCCTCTTGAGACCTTCCCTTCCCCAATCCCCCCTCCCACTCCCAGCTGATGAATGTTTTCATTTGACTCTCTCCTTCTATTGTTGTCTTTTAATGAAAGAATTGTGTTTGTTTGAAAGCAATCTTTATTCTATTAACTGAAAGCACCAGAGATCTCTGCAAAGCAACATACAGTTATGTTAAGGTCCCTTCTTGCATCATGTGCCCCAATCACTGCCTAGCATTACAAGCACTGCAATCCCTAGCATAGCAACAAATATTACTGGCTTTCAGCTTCAAACTGCTGCCTCAAGGCATCCCTGATCCTCATGGCCCCAAGCTGTGCCCCTCTAATAGCCCTGGTCTCTGACTGTTCAAACTCTGCCTCCAGGCTCTGATCCTCTGCGGTCCAGCCCTGAGTGAAGCTTTCACCCTTCCCTTCACAAATATTATGGTTCCATACAGCTATAAGCATAGGAATATTGTCATCGGCCATGTCCAGCTTCCCATACAGGCATCACCAGCAGGCTTTTAAATGGCCAAAAGCACACTCCACAGTCATTCTGCACTTGCTCAGCCTGTTGTTGAACCACTCCTTACTGCTGTCAAGTTACCCCGTGTATGGTTCATGAGCCATGGCATTAAGGGGTAGGCGGGGTCTCCCAAGTATCACAGTGGGCATTTCAACTTCCCCTACAGTGATCTTCTGGTCCGGGAAGAAAGAACCCGCTTGCAGCTTCTTGAACAGGCCAGTGTTCCGAAAGATGCGTGTGTCATGCACCTTTCTGGACCAGCCTACGTTAATGTCTGTGACATGCCCACGGTGATCCACAAGCGCCTGGAGAGGAGAACCATTGAGAAATACCCCTTGTGAGTAAAGTACTCTGTGGCTAGGTGCTCTGGTGCCAGAATAGGAATGTGCGTGCCATCCACAGTTAGGGAAGCTCATTTGTGCAAAGCCATCCACAATGTCAAGCACGTTGCCCAGAGTCACTGTCTTTCGGAGCAGGATGCGATTAAGGCCCTGCACACTTGAATCAACACGAATCCAACGGTTGACTTTCCCACTCCGAACTGGTTAGCAACCGATCGGTAGCAGTCTGGAGTAGCCAGCTTCCACAGTGCAATTGCCATGCACTTCTCCAGAGACAGGGCAGCTCTCATTCTCTTGTCCTTGCGCCGCAGGGCTGGGGCAAGCTCATCACACAGTCCCATGAATGTGGCTTTCCTTTCCTACAGCCACTGCTCGTTATCCCAGACGTGCATCACAATGTGATCCCACCACTCGGTGCTTGTTTCCAGAGCCCAAAAGCAGCGTTCCACTGTGGTCAGCACCTCCGTGAATGCCACAAGCAATCTCATGTCATATGCATTATGTATGTCAATGTCACTGTCAGACTCTTTATCCTCATGTTGCAGTTTAAGGAGTAACTCATCTGCCATTTGTGATGTGCTGGCGAGCCTCATCAGCACATTCCTCATCAGTTCGGGATCCATTCCCTCAGACCGAAAGGGAAGACAGAGCGCTCAATACAAAAAACTATGAAAGATGGCGCCAAACATGGACGGAAGCAAAGAGGCTGCTGGAATGCAAAGCGATGCATGACGGGGCATTGCAACAGGGCCCAGGATGCCCAGCACCCCACCTCCCTCTTCCCACAAGCCTCAGCTGCAGAAGGGGAAGAGGTGATCTGTGGGACAGCTGCCCACAGTGCACCGCTCTGAATGCCGCTGCAAGTGCTGCAAGTGTGGCCATGCGGTTGGGCTGGCAGCTGATAGTGTGAACACACAGGAGCGCTTTCCCTTCTGTGCTCTCTGAGGTGTGCTTTTACTCCCGGCATTTTACATCTGCAAATGTAGACTGAGAGCATGTCTACACTGGGAAATTTACAGCACCGGCAGTTACAGCGCCACTCAGAGAGCGCAGAAGGAAATCCGCTGTTGTGTGTTCACACTGTCAGGTGCCTGCGCAATAGTGTGTTCACACTTGTGGCACTATTCGGAGTGGTGCACTCTGGGTAGCTGTCCCACAAAGCACCTCTTTCTCTTTTGCCGCTAAGACTTATGGGAACGCGGAAGGGGTCGCGTCCCAATGCATTGCATAATTGCTACTGTGGAAGAAAAATGCAGTCTTCACTCTTAGGTTGTTTGCAACAAGTCAGAGACAATTTATTCTCAAGCAATTGCAAGGGGGAGAGTACGCACGGACAGGGATTCCCCCTTTCTAGGCAGGTCTCCGCCCGATAAACAATTGGGGCAAGCATTTATACCTTTTGTTGCATACAATAATGATCAACAGCCACATCTTGTTTATATATATTCCTTCCTGATATCTTACTTTTTCTCAGCAGTTCCTGCTACAGTCTGCGATCCATTCTTATCTAACACAAGGTCAAAACAGCATCTCACAATTTTTCCACTTGCTTCCCACTCGCCGAGGCCCTGCCTTAAAGTCTTGAGTTATTAGAGTTAGAGTTAGCCTGACTCTTGCTCTATTCCTAAGAAAACTAAGATGTCTGCATCCAAATCCCCTTTATCCCTTTTTTTACTTCCACACTACGTATGATGCACTGACTAGCAGTGACTGTTGCTTTCCTGGGCTATGTTTGCTTTTAATTAATGCAATAAAGAATGCTTTCAAACCAAAAACAAAATTCGATTATTAAGATTTACAAAAGACAAGTTCCAGAGACACAAATGGGATCACACATCTGCACAGTGGCGGAAGAGTGGAGGGAGGTTGTGGTAGGGGCCCAGCACCATTACAGATTGGCATATGTCCAGGTGACTTATGCAGCCTTTCCATCTGTAGTGCCGTGCAAACAGTGCTGCACTTCATCCGGGCTAAATTGCATAGGGATGGGGGTTGGATGCAGTGGGTAATGGTTGGAGTTTGCAGGGCTGGATGGCGAAGGTGCAGGTGTTGGAGGCAGCTGGTGGTGACAAGAAACAGGATGTTGAGCAAACTGTGTTCGTGGTGGCATAGGGGTGCGAGGAAAAGAGTTTTGGGACAAGAGCTGCATGGGGGTGGGGGTGGGCGTGGATCTGCTCCATACGCAGTGTTACGAGCACCTGCATCGAGTCCACTTGGTGCTCAATAATGCTTAGGAGCTTCTCCACGATTTCTTTCCGGTGATCCATGTTCTCCTTGTGGACCCTCCTCTCATTCTCCCACCACTTCCACACTTTTTGATTTTCAGCAAGGGGCTGCTGCATAACTTCATGCAGAAGGTACTTCTTGCTTCTTCATGGCCGCTTCCTGAGTCTGCGCAGCCATTCAGCCTTCAGCCATTGACAACAAGGATGGCTGGGATCTCAAGGTAGTATCTGTAAAGACAAAATGCAACATTTAACAGAGGCAGCACTGTTAACACTAGACAGAGCAATGATTCGGCCGATCTTAAAGACAAGCACAGTTCACACAATAGCACAAACTGCCTGTCCCCAGGTGAGTGCACATAACCCACAAGAGCCCTGAAACGGTGAGTAACCACAGGGACAAGGGGAACTGATTTTTCCAGGGCTGTACTGTCCCCTGGGGTCCTGTGCCTTGGGGAGAGCCAACCGCTTCAGGGGCCCCCTATACTGAACACTGTCCACACATTTTCCACAGGCTGGGTTCATCCTGGAAGATATCTCACTGCTGAGGGTGACCTGGGAAGCACGGGAGGGTCTTCTGCAAGAATGCTTAGTCCTGGCCCTTATGTGGCTTGCCTGTGTGCAGCAATGGTCCCCCCCACTCATGGCACAATGATGTGGGTATGTTACCCTTACTGGGACAAGGAGCATAGTAGCTCTGCCAAGGAATCTGCATAAGCAGATTGCCCAGCTTCTGCATGAGACTTTCAATGAGATCATGGAGGACGATTACCATGATGTGAGAGAGCACGTCAACACCCTATTCCACATCTATGCATGCACACAGGCCTGACCCTTCTTTCTGCAACCCTCCTCACCCCAACAACCCGTAGCCAACTACTCCCTTCTCAAAATCAAAACTGCTTACTGGGCGCCTCCTCTGCTGTTTGCTCTTCCCCAAGCTCCATCTGCTGTGACTGGCTACCTTCCTCCAGGCTTGAAAACAGCTCCTGGCTTCATGCATCTATGGATGGTGAATTGTCCTCTGGCTCTGGGCCCTCCTCCTTCTCAGTATCCTTGCTCCCACTTTACTCCTCCTGTCTTATTGCACTCTGGGCTGGCACGGCCTCTGAAGTGCCCATGGTAGTCTTCACAATGGAGGTGGGGTCATCCCCTAGTATTGTGTCCAGCTCTTTGTAGAATTGGCAGGTCATGGGGTCAGCACTGGAACGGGAGTTTGCCTCCCATGCCTTGTGGTCAGCGTTCTGCAGCTCCTTCACTTTTACCCTGCACTGTACTGAGTCTTGGTCATGGCTCCTTTCAGTCATGACCCTTGAAATCTGTCCATAGGTATCATAATTCCTATGGCTGGAGCACAGCTGGGATTGGACAGACTCCTCTCCCTAAACGCTGATAGAATCATAGAATCATAGAATATCAGGATTGGAAGGGACCTCAGGGGGTCATCTAGTCCAACCCCCTGCTCAAAGCAGGACCAATCCCCAATTTATGCCACAGATCCCTAAATGGCTCCCTCAAGGATTGAATTCACAACCCTGGGTTTAGCAGGCCAATGCTCAAACCACTGAGCTATCCCTCCCCCCAAATAATAATATCTGTCTGTCATAGAATATCAGGGTTGGAAGAGACCTCAGGAGGTCATCTAGTCCAACCCTCTGCTGGAAGCAGGACCAATCCCCAATTTTTGCCCCAGATCTCTAAATGGCCCCGTCAGGGATTGAACTCAGAACCCTGGGTTTAGCAGGCCAATGCTCAAACCACTGAGCTATCCCTCCCCCCGTGAGGTCCAGCACCTTGGCATTGCTCCATGCTGGGGATCACCTGGCGCATGGAGGAATGGTAACCTGGAAAGATGCACTGAGAGCACTCCATGGCTTGCTGAGCAAACAGGAAGGGGATTTTCAAAATTCCCAGAGAATTTAAAGGGCGGGTCTGACGGTTGCTCACCTGAGGGCAGGGCAGTAGAGTTCAAAGTGATGACCAGAGTGGCTAGAACAGGCATTGTGGGACACGTTGCAGAGGCTAATCAGAGTGCAGCAATAGACCAGGGCATCCACACTGGCACCGTGGTGCTTTGGCCTGGGAGCAGCTAGCTCTATGCCTCTTGTGGAGGTGGATTACCAGGAGTGCTCCAGCTGCGGAATCCAGCCACTCTCAGTGCCTTGCCAGGGTGGACACTTCACATCTGGGGCTGATTTAATGCGCTCCAACTTGCAAATGTGGACAAGGCCCTATTCTGTGGTTCTGAGGGCTAGTGTGTGTATGTGGGTGGGAGACAAGGGGGTGCTGGAAGAAAGAAGGGAAGGGCAAACTAAGAAGCCAGAAAGGAGAAAGAGAACATTTGAGTGGGGGTGGGTTCTAAAGAAGCATAGAGAGATGTTGAAGCCAGTTCAGTGGCATTTGGGTGCCTAGCTCCCCCAGGCTCCTGTGAAAATCCGAATGTAGGGCCTGAGCCCGAGACAGCTTTATCTAATCTATCTATCTATCTATCTATCTTTTTATAATGTTCGTGGAATATTAGCAGCTAAATCCTGTAGGCAAACCATTTAAAATAGCCTAGTTTTTTTAAAATAAGAAACTACTAATCTCTCCTTTCTTATCACACCACTCAGTGATTGGCTGTTCCTTCAATGTGAGAAAGTTGGACTCTTTGGCTGTATTATAAGGCAATCAAATTCGGGAAAAAAAGATGAAGTAGGTTTAAAGGTGAAACCAGGAAAGTAATTACAATATTCCCAGATATTTCGATGTTCGTGTGATGAGGGGTCGATAGACAGACAGACGCACAGACAGATTAAATCTTATATCACCAGCTTCTAATTATATTTGTGAAGTGACCACAGATATTGCTGGAAAAAAATGACTGGCAACTTAAGCGTAACAAATCAGATTCTGCAGAATGGAATTTCCCCCCATTGAATCTAAATTAACAAAATTTCAGTTCACGCCTGGTAACGCCCGCCTTTTTCAATTGATAATGGATTCTGCAGCTGGCTAGTTTGTCGGGCTCAACGGGTAGTGATCAATGGCTCCATATCTAGTTGGCAGCCGGTATCAAGTGGAGTACCCCAAGGGTCGGTCCTGGGGCCGGTTTTGTTCAATATCTTCATAAATGATCTGGAGGATGGTGTGGATTGCACTCTCAGCAAATTTGCGGATGATACTAAACTGGGAGGAGTGGTAGATACGCTGGAGGTGAGGGATAGGATATAGAAGGACCTAGACAAATTGGAGGATTGGGCCAAAAGAAATCTGATGAGGTTCAATAAGGATAAGTGCAGGGTCCTGCACTTAGGACGGAAGAACCCAATGCACAGCTACAGACTAGGGACCGAATGGCTAGGCAGCAGTTCTGCGGAAAAGGACCTAGGGGTGACAGTGGACGAGAAGCTGGATATGAGTCAGCAGTGTGCCCTTGTTGCCAAGAAGGCCAATGGCATTTTGGGATGTATAGGTAGGGGCATAGCGAGCAGATCGAGGGACGTGATCGTTCCCCTCTATTCGACATTGGTGAGGCCTCATCTGGAGTATTGTGTCCAGTTTTGGGCCCCACACTTCAAGAAGGATGTGGATAAATTGGAGAGAGTCCAGCGAAGGGCAACAAAAATGATTAGGGGTCTGGAACACATGAGTTATGAGGAGAGGCTGAGGGAGCTGGGATTGTTTAGCCTGCAGAAGAGAAGAATGAGGGGGGATTTGATAGCTGCTTTCAACTACCTGAAAGGGGGTTCCAAAGAGGATGGCTCTAGACTGTTCTCAATGGTAGCAGATGACAGAACAAGGAGTAATGGTCTCAAGTTGCAGTGGGGGAGGTTTAGATTGGATATTAGGAAAAACTTTTTCACTAAGAGGGTGGTGAAACACTGGAATGCGTTACCTAGGGAGGTGGTAGAATCTCCTTCCTTAGAGGTTTTTAAGGTCAGGCTTGACAAAGCCCTGGCTGGGATGATTTAACTGGGAATTGGTCCTGCTTCGAGCAGGGGGTTGGACTAGATGACCTTCTGGGGTCCCTTCCAACCCTGATATTCTATGATTCTATGATTCCTGAGAAAGTGACCGTGCAAAGAGTTTTGTCTCTGTGTCTCACCTCAGTGCGCCCATTTGGCCTCCAGAGGGCGCTGCAGTTGAAGTAAAATGGTCCCTGTCAGCTGCCTCCAAGGTGTATTCCACCGCTCGGCTTTTCATTAAATCCAGTCCTCCTGTCTGTCACGCCCGGAGCCCGCCCCCCGACAGGCACCGTGAGCCGTCCCGGAGCCCCAGGTGAAGGGCAGGTGCAGAGGAGAGAGACACAGAGGGAGGTTTGTGCTGTTAACCCCAGGGGTCACTCACAGCTGGAGTTCCAGCGGTAACAGCGCTGCAGTTTATTTCTTGCTCGCCACGCCGCAGGATCAGTCCCTCTTTGGCGTGTAGCTGCGGGAGAAGGGGGAGCCTCCCTGTCGCTGACTCCCGCAGGGCTCAGAGAGACAGAAAAGGGACTGAGAGACGCTGCTGTTCCGCCGTGAAGATGGGAACGACCCCGGGCTCAGGGATTGTGCTGATTTTTGTTCTGCGTGAGTGAGGTTCCCGTTTCCCCACCTCTCTCTCGTTCTAGCTCCATCTGTCCCGACACACACATCTACTCTCTCTCTCTCTGATTCTCGCCTCTGTGTGGTCCCTCATCCTCTCTCCCTAGCTCTTGTTAGCCCCCGTGACAGCCACAAGAACAGGGCGCGCGTTGGTGACAGGGAGTAAACCCACAGAGTCCCCAAGACTTTTCAGGCCCGCTACTTTAATTCTGTTTCTGGTTTTCTCTCCTAGTGTCCCCGGGCAGAGCCGAGATCCAGCAACCGGGCACCGCAGAAGGTGTGGAGGGAGCCGAGCTGAACTTCACCTGCTCTCACCCCTCAATCAAGACGAATGAGAATGTAGTTTGGTACCGGCAGTTCCCGAACCGAGGACCCGAATTTATAGTTTCTGGATACCGGGAAACCACTCATATCCCCGACCCCGAGGGAGCTTTGCATGTTTCTGGAGACAGAAAGTCCAGCGCCCTGGCCCTGAGCAGGGCGCGGCTGGCAGACGCAGCGGTGTATTACTGCGCTCTGAGAGACACAGTGTGACAGCCAGGGGCTGGTTCCGGACAAGAAGTATCGCACTGCGGCCTGTTGTGTGCGTAGGCGGTGGGAGGGGTGAATGTGGAGTGCGTTTCCATGAGCGGGAGGAAAGAGGGGCGATTAGGGGAGATAAAAGAGATGAATAAAACATTTGGGGGCACATTTTCCAAGGTCTTGGTGCGCCTAACTATTTACTGAGAACTTTTCCAAAGGATCAAATCCCATTTCTCTCCTAAGAAAATCTACTTCAGGGAGAACTGTGAAGCACAGTAAGTGAAAAGAAAAGACCTTTCCCATTGCATCTGCAAGGAGGCTATTTTGATACAAAGAGAGGAATAGATAGATACAGCGTTGTTGTAGCCCCGTTGGACGTAGGATATTAGACAGACAAGGTGGGAGAGGGAATATATTTTATTGGACCAACTTATATTGGTAAGAGAAACAGCTACAGGAGTTGGTCCAATAAAATATATTACCTCAGCCACCTTGTCTGGGAAGGTTAGAGAAGGAGAGAAGGAGACAGAGAGAAGGAGACAGAGAGATGATGAAGAGAGAGAGAGAGCGAGAGATCCAGGAGAGAGATAACACACAACACCATCCTCTCATTGCATTTGTGAAATGGACACAAATATTACTAGGAAAAAAGGACTGGTAAGTTTAGCAAATACTGTTCTGCAAACGAATTTTCCCCATACAGAAAATAAGAGCACATGGAGTCTAAATTAATAAAATGTCACTAAACATCCCCGTAACACCCGCCTTTTCCAGTTGGTCAGGGAATTTCCCAGGGGGCACCTCACTTGGGAAAGTCACAGTAAAAAGAACAGGAGGACTTGTGGCACCTTAGAGGTTAACACATTTATTTGAGCATCAGCTTTCGTGAGCTACAGCTCACTTCACCGGATGCATTCAGTGGAAGTGAGCTGTAGCTCAGGAAAGCTCATGCTCAAATAAACGTGTTAGTCCCTAAGGTGCCACAAGTACTCCTGTTCTTTTTGGGAATACAGACTAACAGGGCTGCTCCTCTGAAACCTGTCACAGCAAAAAGATTTCTGAGCGGCATCTCCCCCCCCGCCCGCCGCCCGCGCGGAGCCCGCCCCCCGACAGACACCGGGAGCCGTCTTGCAGCCTCGGAGCAAGGGCAGTTGCAGTCAATAGCGGAGAGACACGGAGGGAGGTTTATGCGGTTAACCCAGGTGTCGCTCGCAGCTCGGGTTCCCACAGTAGCCCCACTGCGGACTTTGGCTCGTAGCTGCGGGGAGAGGGCGGAGCCTCCCTCTCCCTGATTCCCACAGGGGCCAGGCTGCGAGAACAGCGGCTGGGACGCAGCTATTCCGCTGCGCACTGTCGTGCGCCAGGCTCCCCACTTGAAAAGAAGTCCCACACAGGCATCTTCCCGGTTTTTTTGGAAAATAACAGCCTTGTGGTTCAAGGACTGGTCTTATTACTCACCTGAGGACCCATAATTTCCATGGAAGATGATCATACTATCGCCCATAATCATCATCATCCTCATTCCGCTGTGAGGATGGGAATGACCCTGGGCTTAGGGATTGTGCTGCTTTTTGTTTTGAGTGAGTTAGGTTCCCGTTTCCCCACCACTCTCTCTTTCTTCGTGTCTCTCTTTCTCTGTCTACCTCCATCTGCCCCAACACACATTCCGACTTTCTCTCAATCTCACCTAACCATCCACCCTTCAAGGCCTCTGTGTTCTGTCATCCTCTCTCCCTAGCTCTTGTAAACACCCATGACAGCCATAAGAAGAACAGATGTGCGTTGGTCACAGGGAATGAACCCACAGCATTCCCAATAAGTTTCATGCCCAGTAAATTAATTCTTTTTCTCATTTCCTCTTCTAGTGGCCCCAGGCAGAGGCGAGATCCAGCAGCCAGTCTCTGCAGAAGGTTTGGAGGAAGCCAAATTGAACCTCACTTGCTCTCACGCCTCAGTCAAGACCAATGAATAGATATTTTGGTACTGACAGTTCCCGAATGGAGGGCCTCAATATATAGCTTCTGGATACCTGGGAATCATTATTAGCCCTGAGCTGGAGCGAGTTTGCAGGTTTATGGAGACATAAATCCAGCACCCTGGCCCAGCGCAGGGTGAGGCTGGTAGATGGAGCTGTGTATTACTGTGCTCTGAGAGACACAGTGTGACAGCCAGGGGCGGCACCCCCCCCCTCCCCACAATAAATATCACATTTTTCTGGACTATGTGTGTACGTGGGGGAAGGGGAGGGGAGAGGAATGTTGGGTGTCATTCCATGTGGGAGAGGGAGGAGAGGGGCTGTGAGGGAAGACAAGAGATTAATAAAACACTGGAGCCAAATGTACCAAGGTCTCGGTGCTCCTATTTACCTAAGTGACTGGTGAGATTTGATCCTCTGGAAAAGTCTAAGAATATCCCCTGGAGAGAGATCTATGAAGCACAGTAAAAGATAAAACAATGCAAATAAATAAACAAACCCTTCCCATTACATCTGCAAGGGAGGTATTTTGATATAGACAGATAGATACATTCAGCATTACAGTTGCGTTGGTTGGAGGTTATTAGGCTGACAAGGTGGATGAGGTAATCTCTTTTACTGGACCTGTGATGGATTCGGTCACAGAGACCCCCTTCAGGCTGTCACCTGATGTGCTGAATTTACCTTTGAGCCTATTTTCCCTAGCAGCTTGTGTCAAGGTTCCTTCCCCACTCTGAACTCTAGGGTACAGATGTGGGAACCTGCATGAAAACCCCCTAAGCTTATTTTTACCAGCTTAGGTTAAAACTTCCCCAAGGTACAAACTATTTTACCTTTTGTCCTTGGACTTTATTGCTGCCACCACCAAGCATCTAACAGATATATAACAGGGAAAGAGCCCGCTTGGAAACTTCTTTTCCCCCAAAATCCTCCCCAAACCCTACACCCCCTTTCCTGGGGAAGGCTTGATAAAAATCCTCACCAAGTTGCATAGGTGAACACAGACCCAAACCCTTGGATCTTAAGAACAATGAAAAAGCAATCAGGTTCGTAAAAGAAGAATTTTAATTAAAGAAAAAAAGTAAAAGAATCACCTCTGTAAAATCAGGATGGTAAATACCTTACAGGGTAATCAGATTCAAAACATAGAGAATCCCTCTAGGCAAAACCTTAAGTTACAAAAAGATACAAAAACAGGAATCTACATTCCATTCAGCACAGCTTATTTTCTCAGCCATTTAAACAAAACAGAATCAAAAGCATATCTAGCTAGATTATTTACTAAGTTCTAAGACTCCATTCCTGTTCTGTTCCTGGCAAAAACATCACACACACACAGAGAACCTTTGTTTCTCCCCCCGCCCCTCCAGCTTTGAAAGTATCTTGTCTCCTCATTAGTCATTTTGGTCAGGTGCCAGCAAGGTTATCCTAGCTTCTTAGCCCTTTACAGGTGAAAGGGTTTTTCCTCTGGCCAGGAGGGATTTTAAAGGTGTTTACCCTTCCCTTTTTATTTATGACAGCTTGGGACTCCAGAGCCAGACATGCCAGCCTGCTGCAAACACAGACCCAGGGTCTGAACCACACCCCCAAAACTGCAGACTTTAACCAAAAACTGCTCAGCAGGTCACCTATCTCCAGCACCCAGACACCCAGCTCCCAATGGGATCCAAACCCCAAATAAATCCATTTTACACTGTATAAAGCTTATACAGGGTAAACTCATAAATTGCCTGCCCTCTATAACACTGATAGAGAGATATGCACAGCTGTTTGCTCCCCCAGGTATTAATTGCTTACTCTGGGTTAATTAATAAATAAAAATGATTTTATTTAGTATAAAAAGTAGGATTTAAGTGATTTAAAGTAATAAAAGACAGAACAAAGTAAGTCACCAAACAAAATAAGGCAAAAACACGCAAGTCTAAGCCTAATACATTAAGAAAATGTTTACAGGTAAAATCTCACCCTTGGAGATGTTCCAACAAGCTTCTTTCACAGACTAGTGAAAGTCTTCCTTTCCTAGTCTGGACCCAATCCTTTCCCCTGGTACAGACCTTGTTAGCTTCAGCAGGCATTTTAGGTGAAAAGCAGGGGCTTTCTCATGACTGGCCACCCCTCTTGTTCTGCTCCACCCCCTTTTATAGATTTGGCACAAGGAAGGAATCCTTTGTCTCTCTGGGTCCGCAACCTTCCTTCTAAATGGAAAAGTACCAGATTTAAGATGGATTCCAGTATTATGTGACATGGTCACATGTCCTGTGAGATCCCTAGTCTCCATTCTTTCTGGGCTCGCCCCCATGTACCCCGGAAGGTTTGCAAGTAAACAGAGCCATTGACAGGTGCTTGATTCTGAAGCACCCTTAATGGCTTCCACTTAACATGTTGACATCAGTGATACAAGTTTATGTCTTATTCACCTAATGCCAGACATAGAAATAACACACGCCAACAAATGGGATGAACACACTCAGTAGATCACAAGCTTTGTAATGATTGCTTCCAAGAGACCTTTTGCATAAAGCATATTTCAGTTATATTTACACTCATAAGCATATTTTCATAAAACATTGTGGGGTGCAACTCAGAGGACCAACTTCTGCTGGTGAGAGAGAGACCCACAGAAGTTGCCCCAATAAAAGAGATTACCACACCCACCTTGTGTGGTTAGATTAGATAAAGACAGTGAGAGGGAGAGATGAGAGGTAGATAGATGACAGATATAACACCATCCTCGAATTACAATTGTAAGACACAAATATTACTAGAAAAAAATGACTGTCAAGTTTAACAAATACTATTCTGCAAAGGAATTTCCCCCTTACAGGGCATATTGAGTATAATATTAATAAAATTTCACTAAACAGCCTGGTAGTTCCTGCCTTTTCCAATTGGTCAGGGAATTTCTAAGGGTATGTCTACTCTATGAAATTAGGTTGAATTTATAGAAGTCATTTTTTTGGAAATCATTTTTATATATTCGAGTTTGAGTGTCCCCACAGAAAATGCTCTAAGTGCATTAACTCGGCGGAGTGCTTCC